CAAGGAATTCCACCTCTTTTTGCCCCGAACATCTTCAGGAAAATACTTCCTCAAAAATTCTTCCTTAAACATAGCCCAAGTTATTGAAATGCCAACACCATCTAATCTCTGACGGGTGTTATCCCACCACTCCTCAGTTTCCTCTGCTAGCATATGCATACCAAACTGCACCTGCTGAGCATGAGTGCACGCCATAACTCGGAAAATCTTCTCAATCACTTTTAGCCACTTCTGCGCACCATCAGGATCATGAGTGCCCACAAAAGTCGGCGGATTGTTCCCCTGGAACTTTCCCAAAGCACGAAACTCATCTGGAGGTCCACCATTCCAAGCCATCACTTAGGCATGTGATTCCAGCGCATAAGCAATAGTATGATCATCTCTTCCAGCCATCTGCAACCACCAACAGGGTTAGAAGAAACAACTCATTCAATCGTGTTCTCACACTATTGACTGGCAGGGGCCTAACAACATAAAAACTTGGTCGGATGGACTGACCTGCTCTGATACCACTAATGTAACACCCTTTTCTACCTCACATTTTTAATGGCAAAATATTCACATTTATCAGAGTAAAATATTAAACTCAAAAAAATCACCTCAAAGGGCGTACATTTCCCAATAAATCAAATATAGGTCAAGGCTCCATAAACAACGGGTTTTTCCTAAAAGTTATCAAAAATTGCAGCGAAACTCAAAAGGCATAATCTAAAGTTTTCCTTGTACGGAAACATAATCAAAATAACAAAAATCAAATAAAACATGGTTTAACTCAAAGACCCCAACCCGATGTTACACTATCAGAGCAAGACCCTCTAAGTTAACCAAAATGACCAACAACTCAAAACTCCAACAAGATCCTCGACGGCATCCACGGCTAAACTTGGTCATCTGCATGTTACCCACGTGGAGGCAACATTTAAACATGCAGGGTGAGTAAAATGATTCATAATAATCAATATAGGAAATTAATATATAAAACAACGTCATTTTCATAGTATGCATCATCATATTCATCAATGGGCATCAAAAACCACAACATCATAAATTACTCAAGATTATCTCATAAATGCAAATGCAACAAGACTCATGCATGTGGTACCAATCATCACAACTCGATGGACACTGGGCCATCAACCCTCCATAGATCCCCATCAATAGGATCAATTCTATACAAGAATTGGAACACATCAAAATACCTCACATCTGCACAATGGGACTGAAGCAATGAACTAAATTTGAGTTGAAAATTGTGCCCCCTAATTTAAAGTATGTGTTCCTTGATGATTTGAGGCACAAAATGGTGATCATAAGAAATAAACTAACCATGGAAGAGGAAGAAAAATTGATTGTGGTGTTGAAAAAGAATCAAAATTCTATAGGTTGGACTCTTTCCATTTTAAAAAGAATAAGCCCATCCTACGGAATGTACGGGATCTTAATGGAAGATGACTTTAAGCCGGTAACTCAACCTCGACGTCGCTTAAATCCTACCATGAAAGAAGTGGTGAAGATGCTTGAGGCCGAAATGATTTATCCTATTTCTGATAGTCCTTGGGTTAGTCTGGTGCAAGTGGTACAAAAGAAAGGTGGGATGATGGTGATTTAGAATGAAAAAAATGGATTAATACCAACAAGAATCGTGACTGGTTAGAGAATGTGTATCGATTACTGTAGGCTCAAAAAATCTATAAGGAAAAATTGTTTTCCCTTACCTTTCATGGACCAAATGCTTGAGAGGCTTTTCGGTCAGAAACTCTATTGTTTTCTTGATGGCTATTCAGGTTACAACCAAATAATTATTAACCCGGAGGATCATGAGAAAACTGATTTTACATGTCCACTTGGGATCTTTTCTTATAGGAGGATGTCTTTTGGGTTGTGTAATGCACCAGCTACTTTTAGCGTTAATATAATTACAATTGTATTATCATTATAACAAGAAATCACTATCATGCATTTCATGTTGCCACATGTCAAAATATACTTATACAAGTACATACACAATTATTTGATAAATTATCCATAAATAATTTCACAACCGGTAGCAAACAGTGCAACAATTCATTAATAAAACATATACACAATTGAATTCCTAAACATATTAGATATGAAAATATTGGGCAACCAATTCTCTTATCTATACTATGTTATAGCCATGTCCATTAGCTTTCCAACGCTTCAAACGGGCACCAAAAAAGACTTACGGATCAAAAGTTACATCCAAAACGATTTCGACCGAAAACATGAACAGTCGTGACGGACAGCATGTAGAATTTTCTGCGTTTTTCACCGTTCGAGACCTTCCGGACCTCCGATTTCAATTCCGTAAACACCCAAACTCTTATAAAATTACAACTCATCCAACACTGTAATTATCTCAAGTAAATTTACAAGTTTAACACAATTAAACTATCTAATCATTGTTTTAAGATTATGCATAAAACCTTTGAAATTGATGGATATATGTTCAATTCTCAAAAAAAGAATACACACATATAAGGCACACAAATTCATCATATAACAACCACCATGAAAATTATGAATTTTTATCCTAAATATGATACTACTCATTATACACTATTATAATCTCATTACCATGTAAAGACCCACCTTTACCTTGATTTCTTGATGAACTCTTGAGTTTTCTCCTTAGATTTTCTTCTCCTCTTTTCTCCTTTTCCTTTTCTCTAAGATAACTTCTTTTCCTCTTTTTCCTCATTAACACTATTTTTCTCCTTATTTATAAAACCCTTATAACAACTATTTCTAGTAACTAATCATACCCCACCTTTACTATTCACATTCTCATCAAATAGGCTCAATTACTTATTTCTACCATTTCCACATATTATTTCACCAAATAAAATAAATCAATTAAATCAAATAATTTAATTAATTCAATTAAATCAAATAATTCAAATAAATTCAATAATTTAAATAAATCAAGTATGCATAAAATCACTCAATTAATTAATATAAATAAATAATTACTAAAAATTGTGGTGTTACAACTCCTGCTTGCTGGAGAAGCGGCTGTCTAGGTCGACAGGGTTGACGCGGGGAGGGGAAGTGACTTCTGCTCCTCATTTCAGGATGGTCTGTCAGCATTCTTGGGCGTGATGTTGATTGAGTTGAACTCTTTGATGGCCTCTTCGATGTCTTCGTGGAGAATAACGACTTGACCCCTGGTCATGTAGTACTTCATCTTCATATGCACTGTGGACGGCACCGCAGTCAATTCGGTCAGGATTGACCTTCCCAAAATACATTGGTACAGAGAGGGACACTCCATCAAACATAGTTTTATAAAATAATTTAAATTCTTCAAAAACTATATCTCAAATGATTTCATAGATTTAAAATAATCATGATTTTTACATTCCGACTAAATCTTGTTTTGATATAAATTGTTAACCAAAGAAAATTTTCAATAAAATTTTTACATAAAAAATATATAAGATTAATATGTTGAAATTGAATTTATAAAATGAATGAAAAATATAAAATATAAAATATTGACCCCGAGAGTATTATATTATTTTTTAGAAGTTACAAAATATAGAAAAGTTAGGAAAATATTTAATATTAAATATATATCTTCATAATAAAAATTAATTTATGATATACCCTTATCTCATCAAACATTGAATTAAAATAGAACATTGAACATCTAAAATCCATAATAATTATTATACTATACTCTCCTATTTTATCTTTACTACGAATTAATTTTTAATTTCAAAATCGAATGTTTTTGTCTTTCTTTCTCTCTTTTCTATTGAAAATCAATTATGCATTTATTTTTTAATTTATATTTTTATCGATAAAATTCTACAAAATATTTTTATATAATAATTTATAACTATTCATAAATGATATGTCATATAGAAGTAGATAAACAATATATTATAAGTGCTAAAATGTGAGAGATGAAACTATTTAAAGTAAAATAAAATAATTAATTTTGTAAATGGGTAAAATAGAGGAACCAAAAATATAATCAAGTCTTTTTTTTAAATGATTAAAATAAAAAGTATATTTTTTCAACCGAAAAAGAAATACATATTTAACTCTTCTGGTTTTGAAATATTAATTCTAGATAGGGGTGCTTGCGGGTTGATTTTGTTCGGTTTTGAGAAAATTCAATATTTAAAACGATTAAAAATATATAGATTAGTTTTGATTGAATTTGCATATTTTTTGATAAAATCAAAACTAAATCAAATCGAAAAAGATCGAATTGGTTTGAATTGAATTGATTGGATATATTATATACAAATGTGCAAAAAAGTTTTTAAAAAATATCACATTTTTATTGACTAATTTTCTATCTTAATATAAAATTCTTAATTTTTTTGGTTTTTTTCATGTAAATGTCATCACAAATGACATGTCACTTTTTTTAGAAAAAAAAAATATTTTATATTAGTTTTTATGATAATGATAATATAAATTATATATTAATATGGTAATAGTTGGTTCGAGTAGACGAGTTTGAGATATAATATTTAAAATCTATTTATCCAAACTAATTAACATCAGATTTTATTAGTTTGATTCGATTTTTGTCTGAACTAAAAAAATCGACTTAAACACCTTCATTTGATTTAGATTTCAGTTTAATTCAGATTTACCCAAACCAGCACCTCTACTTCTATCATCACCGTACCTTTTCTTTTTATGGACAAGTACACTCCATTCTCTTTAATGTACAGAATAGTGATTTTTTTTTTTTGGAATATGTTTTTCTAAAGTAGTAATAATTAATTAACATTTAATTTATTATCTTGTAAATTTAACACACAATCTGAATTCTCTCTTTATTTTTTTCAAAATTAAAAAAAATATATTTTGAGCCCAAAAAACTTTTCCCAATACTGCATAACTTGCATTTTTCTCTCTTTAATTTGTGATTCTCATAATTCTCTCACATTAAACCCTTTTATTTTCCTTCTCTTTTCTCTAACTCTTGTTCTTAGCGAGTGTTATAGAAAACCATGAAATCATCTAAGTCTTTTCATGACAAATTTCACAACTATGGCCAAAGGGAAACCTATCCCAATCTATTAATCAAAGGTTTACCTTTTATTGTCACTCTATTGATAATCACCATTTTGAGCTTCTTCTTCCTTTATTCTCCAAACCCTTTATCCATTATTCCTAATCAAGATCTTGAAATCATTCAAAAACAATCTCAAAATGATGAATATCATCATGCCAAAACCTTTGTGCCTAATCAAGAACATGACACCATTGAAGAACATCAACATGTTTCACCATCCAAATTACACAAAGGTATGTCCCAAAATTCATCACATTGATTCATACTCAATCTTTGATTTTTTTTTTTTTCAATCATGAATTCTTTTGATATGTTTGTAACAATTGATTTAGCAAAATTTGTATAGTTTTTGTTTAGATTCATTAAATTATATTTGATGTGTAACTTAATTTTTAGTTTGACCAATTCACCTTTGAATTTAAAAATTTAAAGAGATAAATTAGGAGATTTATGGTGGAAGAGGAATGATGTAACCTGAATTATAGAGTTTTATTGAATAATAAAAGTTTAACAATAAATTATAAAATTGAAGATTTTTTTAATCTTATTTATGCATTCTCGATTATTTCATGTTTGATGTTGATCACGAGACAAACAAAAATATTTAATTTTTATTTTAAAATTTTAAAATAAAACTTTTGATTTTGATCACCAAAATTTGAATGTACAATGGCAGAGTCTATTAAATTAATATATTTAAGGTCTCAAACTTTTGATTTTTTGAGTGTAAAAATATTTTTTTTTTTATTTAATCATAATTTTTTATATTCATGAGTATGTCTTTTTTTTTAATTCTAAAATAGTTTATATTTAATTCTTTTTTTATGTTATAATGTTTTCTTATTTTTTTTTTATTTTTTTAGAGAAGAAAACATGTGACATTTTTAAGGGTCATTGGATTAGAGGATTAAGAGGGTCATCATACTATACAAATTCAAGTTGCCCTACAATTCCTGATAGCAAAAATTGTTTCAAGCATGGAAGAATGGATAGTGATTTTCTGAATTGGAAATGGAAACCTGAAAAATGTGATCTTCCAATGTTTGATCCAAAAATATTTCTCAACATTGTTCGTGGCAAGAAAATGGCTTTCATTGGTGATTCTGTGGCTAGAAATCATATGGATTCTCTTCTCTGTCTCTTGTCACAGGTTAGTTCTTAAGTGAATTTTTCTCTTACACTTAATATGCTTTATTTTTATTTATTTATTTATTTATTTTTCTTTTGCTTTTTGAGGTGTTGAAAATTCTTTGCTTGCATATTAAGGGGAATGTGATTCTTGTAAATAAAATTGTGAAGTGTATTCATCAAAATAAATCTTGTTAATTATCATTAATGGGGTGATTATTTGTAAAAATTTAAAAGGGCAAATTTTTATATTAATAATTTCATAATGGCATTGATTTGGGTCAATTGATAACAATTATTTTAATACTTTTTTAAATATATCTTTTTACTATTTATATCTTTAAAAGAAGTACATAATAAATTTTTGGTCAAAATATTAAATTATTTTTAGATTGTTTATATATATATATATATATATATATATATATATATATATATATATATATATATATATATATATATATATATATATATATATATATATATATATATATATATATATATATATATATATATATATATATATATATATATATATATATATATGAGATATGTGTCGATAATATAAAATAATTTTAAATTTATATTACCACCAATCAATCACCACCAAGTATCCCGCCACATCAGAATGTAAATTTTGAGTTAATTGTTTGACATACAAATTGATGAATTTTTATCAGATGATAATGTAAAATTATTTTACCCTGTCATTGCATACCAATTAATATATATATATATATATATATATATATATATATATATATATATATATATATATATATATATATATATATATATATATATATATATATATATATATATATATATATATATATATATATATATATATATATATATATATATATATATATATATATATATATATATAATTGGATTTTTTATTTTAATATAAATTGATATTTTTAATGATAATTGTATTTTGCTTATAAAAAGATGAAAGTTATATTTTAAAAAAATAAATGCATCTAATAGTGGAAAATATAATTTATACTTAGATAAATTTTTCAAAAAATGTTTTAAATTTATAGATATAAGAAAATAATCTTTATTAAATGAGTTTAATGGTGCTTCTAATTTCAATAGCGGGCATTGAAAAAGGTGGTAACATTAATATTTAGGCTAATCAAAATGTGCAGAAACTATTGATCCGTTGGTTTCAAAAAAGTATTATATTTAAATAAATTGTGCGCAATTGTTAAGAAAATAATTAATTGTTGATAGGGTTAATTATGATTTGGTTAGTTTGTTAGAATAAATATTCTATCTTATAGGGTTGTTAGCATAGCACTTGAATACATTTTGATTTAATCTTTATTAGTTTCTATTTTCTAGCTAAGTTTTAGGATAATCAGTTTATGTAATCAGCTATATATTAGTTTTTCTATTATTCAATAAATCAAATCAGTTATCAGAGTTTCCTAACAATCTGGTATCTAGAGCTAGACTTCATATCGAGAGAAAAAAAGGAGAGAGAGTTCGTAAGCAATTGTCGAAGGAAATAATGGTTTTTCTCAACCCTCTATTCCGAAATACGATGGTGATTATGACCACTAGAGCATGGTCATGAAGAATCTACTCCGATCCAAGGAGTATTAGAGTGTTGTGGAATCTGGCTATTCACAACCAGGTGTTGATGAAGTGTTAACAACATCACAAAAGAAGACACGGGAGGAAGCGCAACTCAAAGAACTAAAGGCGAAGAATTGTTTCAATCTCTTAACAAGTCAATTCTTAAAACAATCACTCAGAAGGAGACGTCCAAGCAACTTTGGGATTCCATGAAGATGAAATGTCAAGGGAATGCTCGAGTTCAAAGGGCTCAACTCAACCGCCTTTACAGAGAGTTTGAGGTCCTAGCTATGAAACAAGGTGAATCAATCAGTGTTTATTTTAGCCGAGTGATGATGATCGCAAATGATATGAGAAATTATGGAGAGGATATGGCTGATATCAAGATTGTAGAGAAGATCTTGAGAACCCTCACTGAAAAATGGAACTATATAGTTTGTTCCATAGAAGAGTCAAAGGACATTGATGAACTCTCTGTTGATGCCTTGCAGAGTTCTCTTCTTGTCCATGAGCAAAAGTTTAAGAAAGATGAAGTCGAAGAACATGCTCTCAAGGTGTCCTATGATGAAAGAAATGGTGGAAGAGGACGAGGAAGAAGCACTTTCAGAGGAGGAAGAGGCAGATTGGGCAACCATACAACAATGAGTGTTGTTGGAAAAGGAAGTGTAAGGTTAGTTTTGGAAGGAGTTTATCACACTGTCAAAGATGTGTTCTACGTGCTAGACTTAAAGAACAATCTTCTTAGTATTGGACAACTACAAGAGAAAGGTCTAGTTGTTGTGATAAAGGACAATCAATGTCGGATCTACCATCCTACAAAGGGTCTTGTCATTACCAGCAAAATGACAGCCAACAGGATGTTTGTGTTGCTCACTAATACTCCTTGTTGTAAGCAGGAAATAAGTGAAGAGTGTTTTCAAGCCGAAGATCTAGCTCAACTTTGGCACCGTAGATATGGTCATCTAAGCTTACAGGCTTGAAAACTATGAAAAACAAGGAAATGATGAAAGGGCTGCCACATTTTGCTGAAACCAATGTTGTGTGCACTGGCTGTTTAAAAGGGAAGCAACATCGAGAAACTATTCCAAAGAAGGCGATATGGAGAGCTTCAGAAAAACTAGAGTTGATTCATTCTGACATTTGTGGTCCAATCTCTCCTACTTCCAACGGACAAAAAAAGGTATCTCATTTGTTTCATTGATGATTTTAGTAGAAAAGCTTGGGTGTATTTTCTTACATATAAGTCCGATGCGTTTAGTGTCTTTAAGCAATTCAGAACCTGTGTAGAGAAAGCATTTGGTTTGTCCATTAAATGCTTAAGAACATATTGTGGACGTGAATTTACATCAAATGAGTTCAAAGAATATTGTAGAGAGAATGGCATTAAGAGGCAGTTAACCACAGTCTACACACCTCAGCAAAATGGTGTTGCAGAACGAAGAAACAGAACTGTAATGAATATGGTGAGATGTCTGCTGGCTGAGAAAGATGTGCCAAGAAATTTCTGGCCAGAAGTTGTGAATTGGGACTTCTATGTTCTAAATAGATGTCCAACATCATCACTCAAGGACATGACCCCTGAAGAAGCTTGGAGTGGGGTGAAACCTTCAGTTGAACACTTCAAAGTGTTTGGTTATGTAGCTCATGCTCACGTCCCTGATGCTAGACGAGCTAAACTGGATGATAAAAGTCGCAGTTATGTTCTGTTTGGGGTGAGTGCAGAATCCAAGGGATATAAACTCTATGATCCTTTGAACAAGAAAGTCATAATCAATAGGGATGTTGTCTTTGAGGAAGAAAAGAAGTGGAATTGGGATGAAAGTTACCAAGATTTTATTAGACTTGATCTAGAGGTGGGAGAAGAAAATGATGAAAACATCCAACAAAATCATGACACACAAAGCAACGAAGAAGAAGAAAAGGAGATGACAAGTGATGCAATTAAGGTTGTTGTACCTAGTGCCAATCCTACAACTTCTAATGCAAGAGAAATCAGATTTAGAAGAGCACCAATATGGATGAATGATTATGTTATTCGTGAAGGTGTTATTGGTGAAGAAGTAAAAGATGGTAAAGTACATTTTGCTTTCTTTGCTAGCTCTGATCCAATCAGTTTCGAAGAGGCAATGCAAAGTGAAAAATGGAGACAAGCAATGGATGATGAAATAAGTACAATCGAGAAGAACAGGACATGGCAGCTAATTGATTTGCCAAGAGGTGCTAAAACCATAGGAGTCAAATGGGTATACAAGACCAAATTGAATCAGCTGGGAGAAATTGAAAAATATAAAGCTCGCTTAGTGGCGAAAGGATATGCTCAGCAACAAGGGGTTGATTATGATGAAGTGTATGCTCTTGTAGCTCGTATGGACACTATACGTATGACCATTGCTCTTGCAGCTCAAAGAAGTTGGATTATTTATCAACTTGATATGAAATCTGCCTTTCTCCAAGGAGAATTATCAGAAGAGGTCTATGTTGAACAACCTAAGGGTTATGAGTTGAAGGATGAAGAAAGGAAGGTCTACAAGCTTAACAAAGCTTTATATGGACTCAAGCAAGAACCGCGAGCATGGTTCAGTCGAATAGAGTCATACTTCAAGCAGACAGGATTCGAGAAGGATGCAAGTGAACAAACATTATTTACTAAAGTGAATAAACAAGGTAACTTCTTAATTGTTATCCTATATGTTGATGATTTGATATATACTAGTAATGATAGTGCTATGATGAGAGAGTTCAAACGGTCCATGATGAAGGAGTTTGACATGTCTGACTTGGAAAGGATGAAATACTTTCTTGGTATAGAAGTATTACAGTTTGATGAAGGGATATTTATCAGCCAAAAGAAGTATGTGAAAGATATATTGAAGAAATTTGGAATGGAAGCAAGCAATTCTGTGCAGAATCCAATGGTTCCAAGTTTCAAAATTCACAAAGATGAAGATGGTGTGAAAGAGAATAGTTCAGTCTACAAGCAGCTGGTTGGAAGAATGATGTATCTGACAACTACAAGACCTGATGTGATGTATTCAGTTAGCCTCATTAGTAGATACATGTCAAATCCAACTGAGCTTCATCTTATGGCAGCTAAAAGGATATTTAGGTATTTACAAGGAACCACTAGCTATGGGATTCTCTATAGGAAGACAGGAAATACAAAGCTGATCGAATTCACCGACAGTGATTATGCTGGAAGTATGGAGGACAGAAAGAGTACATTCGGGTATGCATTTATTCTGAGCAATGCAGCTGTAGCATGGTCTTCAAGGAAACAACCTATTGTCGCACTGAGCACCACAGAAGCAGAATTTGTAGCTGCTGCAGCCTGCACATGTCAAATGATATGAATGAAAAGAGTGTTGAAGCTTGGCTATAATGGCAGTAGCAGTCCAGTTATATTTTGCGACAGTAGTTCAACAATTAAGCTATCCAAAAACCCTGCGATGCACGGAAAGAGTAAACACATTGATGTAAGGTTCCACTTCCTGCGTGATATGGTGAATGAAGGAGCTGTACAACTGAAGTTTTGTGGCACTGAACAACAGATAGCAGACATTTTCACTAAGCCTCTCAAGTTGAAGACATTTCAGCATCTTAGGAAGAAACTTGGAGTATGTGATGCACCTAAGTTAAACTAGTATATTGTCTAGTTTAAGGGAGGAAATGATAGGGTTAATTATGACTTGGTTAGTTTGTTAGAATAAATATTCTATCTTATAGGGCTGTTAGCATAACACTTGGATACATTTTGATTTAGTCTTTATTAGTTTCTATTTTCTAGCTAAGTTTTAGGATAGTCAGTTTATGTAATCAACTATATATTAGTTTTTCTATTATTCAATAAATCAAGTCAGTTATCAGAGTTTCCTAACAATTGTATTAATTTTAATATAAAGGTATATCTTCAATTGTTTGACAAAAAATATCTTTAGATATAAGTCATTTTTTAAGTTTCTAATTATATTTATTGACTCTTCTTTAAAGAAATTCCTAATTAATATTATTAAATGTTTTAGAATATTTAAAATCTAGAACCCTAAACGCTAAACGTGTGTATTGGCTTTACATTCTTACATATGTTGCTTATAGAGTCTTTAGATATAAGTCAAAATCTATCATGGAAATAACATCTCATAATGCTGAAAAAGAATAAGATAAGTCCATGCAAGATACCTCATGTATGGACTTTTCATTCACCGCTCATTGCTTTCTAGGCACGTAGATTGAGGGTTTTATCATCCTCTAACTTGTCATTTATCCTTTGATTTTATGATTTTCTCTAATGCGGCTAACCTTAGTTACCTTTGTTATCATTTTATTACCCATAGGCACATATTCCTCCTTAATCCTGAGCAAGAAAGAATGCATGCACTTTTAAATGGCTTCTTTTCACCCCAATGTGTATTGGTAGAGATGCCTACATGAACTAGAGTTTTGCATATCAACCTATGTTTTCACCTAGGCCTTGACTTAGTTGACCTAGCATAGGTGGTCTTTCAATTTTTTTAACTTTTCAATAGGGTTGACAATGAACTGAATCAATTCGAAAATAGTTTGAAATTCGATTCATCAATTAAATCGTTGAACTAGATTCATGAATCAAATGAACTGAATATGAGCGAAAAACTAAATTCGTTAACTAAATGAGCTGAACTTGAACTATACATAGTTCGACTCGTTAGGTTCATGAGTCAACTCAATTACATATGTGAAGTATTATATTGTCTTTAAGAATAACTTTTAAAGATTTAATTCAAATCTTAATCCTAAAAAATGTACCTTATGTACTAGATATGACAATAAAATCGACAATTGAATTTAGAGTCATGTTGGATGCATAATGACATTTGCTAAAATAACATGTCTAATGAAGGTTGCAAGTGGTGTATTGTAATTATTATGTGATGAAAATGTATCAATTTTTAATAATTTTTGGTATACTATTTCATTAAAATTGTATGTTTTCTAAATATTTAGACAAAGTTGTGGATTTTTGAGACAAATTTAAACTTCAATTGAGTAGTTTTTGAATTAGACTTTCAAATGTATTTCTTGAAAATTGTGTAGTTTTTGAATTAATAGATTTTTGAGATAAAGTTAAATTTCAATCAAATAACTTTTATTTTATTTTAATATTTTTTTTAAAAAAATACTAATTTAAAATGTCAAATATATAAGAAAAAACAACCGACTTAAAAAAATAACTTTTAAATCCGTGAAACAAGTGAGTTAAACCTAATAATATGAACTTAACGAGTTGAACCGAACTGTTCATGAGTTGAGTTTGAGCTTAAAAATATTTGTTTTATCATCCAAATAAATAGTTTGATTACTTGTCCATGTAATTAGTAATTATTTATAGAAAGATTTATTCTATTTTTCATATACAAATATTTATGTATTTTTTTTTTGTCATAATTAAGTCACTCATGAATCAAAGCTATGTGTTAATTGTGTGCTCATATTTTGTACTCTTATGAAATTTTGTAGGAAGAAACTCCAATAGATATATACAAGGACTCGGAAGATAAATTTAGGACATATCATTTTCCTAAAAATGGCTTCACTCTCATGATACTATGGAGTAGATTTCTTATAGAAGGTGAAGAAAGAATTGTGAATGGAACAGGATCAGGTACTTTTGACTTGCAAATGGATAAAGTAGATGAAGATTGGGCTAAAGTAATACCTGAATTGGACTACGCTATAATTTCAGGTGGCCATTGGTTTTTCAGATTAATGTTTTTACATGAAGCTGGAAAGTTATTAGGTTGCATTTATTGTAGTGAAAAAAATGTCAAAAATTATGACATAGATTTTCCACTAAGGTTAGCGTTTAAAACATCGTTGAAATACATCAACAATTGCAAAGATTGTAGGAAAGGGAAATTATTCACAATTATGAGGACATTTGCACCCGCTCATTTTGAAAATGGAATTTGGAACACTGGAGGATATTGCAATAGGACAGGTCCTATAAATGAAGGGGAAATTGATTTGAATAGATTTGAATTGAATTTAAGGAATATTCAAATGGAAGAGTTTAAAGAGGTTAAGAATAATAACAGAGGGAAAACTAGATTTGAGATTTTGGATGTGACAAATGCAATGATGATGAGACCAGATGGACATCCTGGTGAACATTGGGGAAATAAATGGATGAAAGGTTATAATGATTGTACTCATTGGTGTTTGCCAGGTGCCATTGATGTTTGGAATGAGTTTTTCTTAGCTGTTCTTCAAAGGGAGGATGATAAACAAAGACGACGATGATGAATTTTAGACTAGAGTCATCTTTGCATAAAAAAACAAGATTATACTTTTTATACTATTATAATAATATAGTTAGAGGGACTCAATACATTCTTTTTTATTAGCACATGAGAGGATAATATTGTTGAGTTAGTTTTTACTAATTTCTTATTATCTTATTATCTTAGTATATTTTGGAGTTGAGTTTTGAAAGGTTTATTATTGATTTTGAAGAGATATATTTACTTGAAATATATTTAAGAATTTTATATTTGGTAAAAGTTATAATCACATGAAAGTCTTAATATTCTATCAAAATTGAAATATTTCAATAGTGAGTTGGAGATCAATAAGATATTAATATTTAATGATGCTTTATCTTTGAGGATTTCATTCCGATTTAGAGAAATGATGAGTGGTGGTACTTGTAAAATAATCTGATGTCCAAATTAGTGAATGAATAAGGCAATGGATAATGTTTATGGAATGAAGTGCTCCTAAACACAAATTTATGGAAATAAATTGAAGTCAACATGGACAATGTTTTCATATAATTTTTATGTATATGTGAAAAGTGATAATGAAAATCATTAAGTCTATGGTAGGTTATAGGAAAAAGTGATAATGAAATATAATAGAAAAAAATATGGACAAAAGGGAAGAAATATTTAAGAAAAATTTAAACTCTCCAAAAAAATAAAATATTTTTGGACTTGCAGGTAAACCATGTGAGACTGACTGTGTGTGTGCGCGTGTGTGTGTTTGTGTGTGCGCGTGCGTGAAACCCCACAATAAGGTGATATAGGATCAACTTTAGTCATGCGTCCACCCTAGAATAATTCTCTTATGCATGGTCCCTTCTTAGTAGGTGGCTTTCCCTAAAGAAAAATATGGATGGTGACGTGTACGCAGCCCATAAACACGTGAAAAAATTCATGACCACGATCCCTTGAGAAATAGGTAGTCAACGGACTACGTAGTCAAGGTGGAACGTTTGCTACTTTTTCATGATTCCCCAAATCTAGGTGCATAAGCCTCAATACAGGGTTGTGAACTCACCACGAAATACCCCAGTGAGCTTGCCCTAGCCACCCACACCAACATAGAGGTGCTACACATCGGTATTGTTTTTAGCAAGTACACTAGCACCCTTTGTAGAGCCTAAGTAAAACCGACATAAGACACACCTTCCATCATTCCACCACTTTGACACCCACCAAAGTCTCAATTTCTAGCCTTAACCATTCCCAATTATGCTTGCAATGAGAGCAAAATCCCCAACCCAGGATTGTCTCTACGCGAAAAACAACCGGCGGAAAAACAGACTCGCCACCGAACGTTATATATCTCGACAGGGGAAAGGAAACAATTGAATAAACCTCAAAAGGGGGAGAAGACATGATCTTGCAACCAAATTATGGGTTCGGGAGTCGATTACGCGAGAGGAAGGTATTAGCACCCCCTCGCGTCCGTTGTACTCAACGGAATCCATTCGTGTTGTTCAAATCAAAGGGTATATTTATCTAAAACCTACTTACTAAACGGAAACGGAAAGAAGAAATACAAAAGGAGACTTGATAGGACTTCCTCATCCTAGGTCTACGTATTCTCTCATGCAATGGGAAAGTTAGAGTCAACGTAGTTCGGAGGACTACTGGTGAAAAAGGGAAAAAGGGTGCTCGCCAAGACTTCACCGTCTTGTACCTACGTATCTTCATTCGGACGAGAATGAAGAAATCAGAACATTCGTAGTTCGTGCATACGACCACAAGTTGGTTAAGTATCTTTTATTAGCGATGCTAAATTCGCGTTTCAGCAGTTAGGATCGATGTCTGTTTGCGGTAGAACGGAAATAGCAAAAGTCTTAGTGTGAGGGAGTTTGATAACAAGAAATCGTATTGTATTTTTAGGTTCATTGTGCATCTTATTTGTCCGTCTTTTATCACGTTTTGTTTGCATTTTACTTTGTTTTGTGTGTTTTGAAGTTAATTGTTTCATCCGTTGTGGAATCGGGAAAGAAATGGAAAAGGAGTGAAAGAAGAGAAAATACAGCAAGAAAGATGAAGATTCTGCCTCTTTTGCTGATATGGCGTTCGCCATGTCCATACGGCGTTCTCCATAGTCATCCTGCCACGTCAATTAATGATTTAAGCCAATGGTGTTCGCCATAATGGCGCTCGTATGTCAGCGCAGTTGTAGAATTTCAATTCTGCAAATCGTTTTTTGGCAGTTGTATTTTTCCCACTCTTTCCTCCCACGACCAGAACAATTGGAAGTCTTTTTCTCTATATATAGGCTGCCCTGATCAGTTCCAGACACAAAGATTTTTACCCCGCTGAAGCTCTGTCGAAATCCTTCTAGTTTTTAGGCATATATTTACTTTTCAAAGCGGCAATTGCTCACATTGAGGAATTGTCGCACTTTGTATTTTATTTTTCTTTTACTTTGCTGTAATTTGGAATCAGAACAAGCTTGCCGACATAATTCTATTAATTCCAGTCGTATTTCATCTTACATGTTATTCCTTATTTTTATTACTACATTATTATTATTACTGTATTTATGCCATGTTAAATTCAAGTATGATTCTGGTTACTATGTTTGCCGTGATTTATACCATGTCTTGCTAATTTCTTTTTAGTTCGGCGTATGAGGACCGTCGTCATCGAAGAGACTCTGTAGAAAATATAGGTGCAAAATTATGAATTGCATGTTAGTTTTAATTTTAGTTTTTATTCTTCGTGTTTTATTATTTTGTCACGAGAGTGAGAAATATACTAAGTTCGAACCTATAGCGCGAGAGTGTGAGGAAAGAACTGATAGTGAAAACTAGACATCGAACCTAAAAACAGCGAGAGCGCTTTAGGCATCGTTTAGAATTTCATTAACTTTCAAAATACGCTTTCTAATTGAAACGGGCGAGCGAGAGCAAAATTTTGTGGTTGGAAGATGTGGTTCTTGTCGATAGTGCGAGAGTGTGAGACGAAATCTTTAAGTTATTACTTTCTACAGGATTGCATTCAATTGTAATTGGCACCCGTTTCTCCAAGTCCTTTAGGTACGCGAAAACCATATTTCGGACTCGGTTTTATCTTTATTTCTAAAAATCCTCTAGAATTAGAAATTCTTTATTCCCGTATTAAATCCGTAGTCTTTAGCCTTAGCTTTGCACTGCAATATTTAGATTACATTAGTTTGATTATCGCTTCCCTGTGGGTTCGACAATCTTTTTTAAAACTACGCGAACAGATATATACATGCAGTCTTCGTCCGAGGGTCCGTTCAGTGTCTTGCTCGAATCACGCGATCATCAGTGTATTGTACATCAACTTGTTGTATACATTATTTTAAAATTGTTTTTAGTTTTATGTGATTTTTTCATATTATGTTTTTTCATATTATGTTTTTTTCTTATTTTGTTTTTTCATATTATGGGTCATATTTTGTTTTTTGCATATTATGTTTTTTTAAACGTAGTGTGATTTTTTCATATTATGTTTTTTTTCTTAATTAAAGACTTATTGTTTTTTTTAATGGATGATAGGTTTTGATGGTTGCAAACGCATGCATGACTAGTGTCCTGATGCATGTCATTGATTCTTGATGCGTGTCATTGATTGTGATACATGCGTGACAAGTGAACGGCAGAGATTCCTGATGCGGTATCACATGTGAAAGCAGAACTTTGCATTGTCACGTCTTATCAAGTGTTCTGTTCATTGTCATATCATTGATTGTGGAGCACGCGTGACAAGTGTCCTGCATGCATGGTCATATGGTCATTGATTCATGTGAAAAAAATCTTTACTGATACATGTGAAAATTACAAAGTTCAATTGCTGATACATGTAAAAAAATCTTTAAACTCTTTAAACAATCAAACACTCAGCCCATTTTATAAAGCCTTTAAACTCTTTAAACAATCAAACACTCAGACGCTCAAACACTCAGACACTCAGACGCTCAAACACTCAGACGCTCAAACACTCAAACACTCAAACACTCAAACACCACAATTTTCGCAATGTCTCAAACACCACAATATGTGATTTCCGCTCATCTGAACGGTGAAGTTTTCGAATGTGAAGTGTCGGGATACAATTTCAGAAACACGGATGTTACAAAATTTTTAATTGACAGAAGGTCTAATTTTTTACACCTGAAGTCAAGAATAGAAAAAAACTTGAATGTGGTCCAGTTGGGCAAATAATATACAAAAATCCAGTATTTTTTGGCGGACCTGATTCATGCAAATTTTTCCCTTTAAAGGTGCGAGATGATGAACACGTGCGTAACATGTTCCGCAGTCACGAGTATTCTGGGTTCTCAGATATCGTGTTATATGTTACGTTACAACAACAACAACTGTCTCAGCAACTTGATTCGTCTCAAGTTTTTTGCGATGAGGAAGATGAACACCCTGAAGTCGATGTCGTTGACGAAGAAGAAGAAGCAACTGAAATCACTATTGACGAGATGGTGAACAATTCAGAGGATGAAGTTTAACCTGACAATGTATATTGTCCACCTCAACACATGAGTGCTATCGCCTTAGGTGATGATGAACCCTCGAGGGATGTTTTCTACAACCCCAACTACACAATAGAGTGGCAACTAAAAGAGGGTGACGAATTTAGTACGAAAGAAGATTGTGTCCGGGCTATCAAACAGTTTCACATGAAGTTGTCAGCCGACTACAAATTCGATCGGACAAATTCGACGCGGTATACGATCTATTGTCGTAACGAGGAGTTCCCGTTCCGATTAACAACATATTTCAGGAAGAGAAGCGATTCCTGGAAGATAGGGTCAATGGGTTCATCCCACAGTTGTATAATCTCGAATTCGATGCAATACCATCGCAAACTCAGCTCTAAATTGATTTGCGATGAGATTCTGTCAGTTGTTAGCGACAACCCGTCTTTGAAGGTGAGTACTGTTGCACCCTAAAATTTGACCAACCGGGTCCCGTATCTGGTCCGATGTTTCGACGCATGACCGCATTCGCATATGCATATCGC